AAGGCTTTCACTCAAAGCTCTCAAAAGAACGCCAGTGAAAAAAAAACGCAATGTTAACCAATGTCTGATCAATGATAAGTTCTACAAAATTTCGAATCGAATCGATCAAAAATTCTCAAAATACTTTCATGCGACACACTATAAAAGTGTGTGATACAAAATTAACCTTTGACCTATATAATTGAGAAGAATTATCTGCATCTTTCTTTGAGATTCTCGATAAGTATTTATTGTCTATAAAAGATAGCCAGCAAATAATTAAATTTATAATTAACTAACACTTTCGCTTGTCTTTTTTCGTATATAAAGAAGATAGAAATTATTACATTTACATCTCTGAAAATATTGTGCAAATAAAAATACTATCCAAAAGTACTATACAAAAAATACTATACAAGATCTTATAAGCTATTGAATATTCTTCGAACTAATAGCCATGAAATTCAATTTAATTCAATAGCACCTGTACGGAGGCTTCTTTGAGGAAAGGAGTTCTCTTTTTCGCGACAAAGACAACACCAGGCCTCTCACTTCCGTTCTCCAGGCTTTTCTTCCGGGGCGTAGACTCAACCGTTAATTAATTTCCACGCCAGTCCTTTGCCCTTCCCCTTCCCTTTTCTTCAGGTCTTGAGCGGCAGCTCGTCTTTCCAGAAAATCTTTTACCGGCATTTCTCATAAAAGACTAGACCTTTGTCACAGCTTTACGAGTGCTGATGCGAATATCGTCTCTAAAATGAACCTGGATATCTTCGTTAGAACTTCACCCCCCTTTTCGCCCCTTCCATCCCTAATCATCCCTAGTCCGGCTCGAAAATGAAATCGTTAGCGCGGAAAGCGTAGAAACTTCAGATGAATATTTCATATAATTGTAATATTATCTTCGTCCTGATGTAATATGATAAAACCGAGAATTCGAATAGAATGTCTCAATGAAATCGGGATGAGATAAAAACGCGAGTGAATAAAGATAAAATACATAGCGTGTTTCTAGTGTTTAAAAATTATAGACCTCAGAATTGGATTATAAGCGGGAGTAATAGCATATACTATAACTGTTTTCTAACTTCATTAAGAACTTTGCGCTCCTTAATTGACCTCTTCCGCTTAAAGTTGCACGAATAATGCCTTTTCAAATCCGGCAAATACAATCCCGTATAATGCACAGCGCCAAAAATAATAAATTCTATTTTTATATTCTTTCAGATTCAATTTCCACAGATATTATTTTTATGCTTATACAAACTCATTTTTTTACATTTATATTTATTTGTAGCTAATTTATTGTACGGATCTGATAAAAAAAAAATACGACAGATGTCACTACTCATCCATTATCCTTTAAGATGCACTACTTAAAGATGCAAAAAGATAAAAAATATTTGCATTTAAATATTACTTTCTTTCCAGTCGTGAAAATGACTCAACATACACCGTTGCAGAAATGTGATCGACAACTGGAACAATGTCAAGATTCTCTTAACAAAAGTAATTATGAAGAGTCCGATCACGGCACTTTCAACAATCTAGGAAACCCCGACAGAAGAGAGCAAAAATATGGAACGTAGGCGTACTTAAAAGACTTACAGGCGAACCATTGTTCTCACCTTTCTCTCGTCGACAACAATAAGAGCGACAATACGAGCAGAACATAGCTAAGAACGAAAAGATCTAGCCAGTCAGAAATGAAGAAATTAAAAGGCCCTATATATATATATATATATATACTTGGACCTGCGCCAATGTCCATCATTTTCCATGCCTATGTCTCTTTCTCGTTTCCTTTTCACGAATGATTAAACCGCCGAGGTTGAACGAATGAGCCAATCGTTATGCTTATGCTAACCGGACGTAATCGGACAATCACTGTCGCGAAAGGTGCTCCTTTAAGCGCGCACCTCTTGTGGGCCAGATTAATCGTGCCGCTTTTATCGCTGCATCGACGGCGTGCAAAATTGCGGCTCGCGTGCCTCTGATCGTCGCGAAAAGATTAGCGGAACGCGATGGCTTTGCTCAACACGACGAAGAAATGATAAACGTGCTCGAAGAGTATAAAGGCGAATCACGTGATAGAGATAATCTGCCTATATGGCAGAAAATAGAAATATGAGATATCCATTATACCCTTCACTCATTCATTCACGTATAGCACATTGGAGATGTGTAATCTCGTGTAATCGCGCACGTTATGTCTTTTTCTCTTTTAATTATATACTCCGTACAAATCCTAATTGAAATTAACAACAGCGAAATAATAAACAGCTATCTTTTAAACAAAAAAAGTGGAAACTCTTGTATTAAGATAATGCAATGTGGCTCTTTCATTTTGAATCTTTTGATAAACCTTATTGCTTTTATAATTCTCAAGAGACATAAATAATCATTGAAAGAATAAATTGATTAATTAAATGAAAATTCTAAAAAGTTCTATCTATCGTCAAGTTGTGTGCTATTATTTTATCTCTAACCAAGAAACATTGCAAAATTTTGCATAGACAAACGATAAATGGAAATGATAGATTGTTTCAGAATTGTGGAATTCTCTCGAAAAAATAACTGGGCCTCGAGAGAACACGTTGTCGCGAATTCTTGTTATGAACGAACGATTGAAAATATCGTGACCGAGCAACGACCGAGTTCGAAATTAAAAGCGCCGATAAATCGTGGATAATATGAAGAAATCGATAATTCACCTGGTCAAATTAAGTCACACGCATAAAGACAAGTAAGAAATATTGCGAGAACTACCGAGAAAATAGAGACCTTTAAAGGGCATGAATGTAAACAAATTGTGAGATACACGAGAAACATCGTGTTTTGAGGCAAACAAGTACATACAAAGAGAGCAAGAGAGAAAGAAAAAAAGAGACACACGAAGAATGACGTCAACGACTTGTGGAAATACACCGAAGAATCACATCGAGAAAATATAGCGAAAATCACATCAAGAAAATATAACGGAAAAGTGCACGATTGTGCACTTTTGTGCAAATTTGGTGCAACGAAACTCGTGACAGTGAAACAGACACAGAACGATAAGGCCATTAATCGCAAAAATCTACATATACCTAAGAAAAACATAGAGAAAAAAGCAGATGACGAAACTTTGCATATTTCGAATTTTTTTCAATACCGAAGAATATTTAGATAAAAAAGTATTACATCTTAAAATAATCGATTAATTTTTTTCATAATCGTTGTAGTATATATTTAAAAATCACTTTAAAATCTTCTTTTTTTCTTAGGCATATATAGAATTTTGTATTTGTCCATCATGCCCACGTACGTACACACGCGCGCGCAAACACATACACGCACACACATTTATACAAATCGTGAACAAGTTCCACAATAAGTGCATAGACATTACTTATAAATTGCAAACTTGTCGTCATACCGACGAAACGGACAATCTCGTCAGGAAGATTTTTTTCCACTCCATAACTGCACAAGGATTATTTACAATTTTGACGACAAGGACAAAAAAATTAGAATTTTTCATACAGGAAATATTATAACTTGCGCTCGACATCATAACTCTTGAAGTGGACCAATTCGCGAACTAAAAGCTCGTTCTTTTTTTTTTTTTTAAATTTTTCTTTACCTTTTATATTATTTAGGACACTTAATGTTACCAGCCTAAATACCCAAAGGCGAATTTATCCGATTATCGGCGAAGAGCATCCTTTTGAAGCGTTAATTTCCTGAGCCGAGCGCAGATATGTGGATATACGTTTTTTCGAAATAAATGTAACTCGAATAATTAAACTAGGATGTGTTAAAGCACAAAGGGTAGTTATACATACGCGCGATATTTGAAGGAAGCAACAAAAGGGGAATGCAGTTGGCAAGGTGCGCTCCCTCTAAAGGACAAGGAGAGAACGAAAGTAAAACAGAACACTGGAAACGCGAAACACTCGGTCACACTTCCTTTAAAATCTGTGTCCTTTGCTTTTCCGTTTGTCACCTTTTCCTCTACCTTTTCGTCATCAACTTTTCCGTCACGTTTGTAAACACATTCGCACGAACTCCCTTTCATTTTCTCCGTGTCCCTCCTTGCTGCAAGACAGTTCACTATTTACATCCCTTTCACAGTGCATAATTGTTACGCAAGTTAATACGTAATAATCCACACACATGGCACATCTCGCGCGCGCGCGCACATACACACGCGCACAACACATACACACACAAACCACATGTGAATCGTGTTCCTGCTGACAGAGAGACGCAGTTAATGCGCACAAAAGCCACCCAGCGGAGTGTACAATGTCAGTGCAAAATCCACGTCGGAGGATGTACCGTATACGTAATTAAAAGCGCCCGCTAATCGCATTAGCAGATACGTCGGAACGCGAGCGAATAGGGAGGGCAATCATCCGCTGCAGCGTTCATCTGCGATCATTGTTAACGCGATTAATCGGATTTCTAGCTCCCACCTGTGAGACGGGCGGGCGAAGATATATATATATATATATATATATATGGCGTAGAGAAACTGCTATGTAATTATTTACAGCGAGTTATTATTACAGAGAGGAGTGTGTGAGAGAGAGAGAGAGAGAGAGAGAGAGAGAGAGAG